GTATTGATAAACAATTAATTAACAGGGTCAGAACGTGACTATAGAGGAATGAATTGGCCTGTCCAGAAGCTAGAATAAGATATATGTGCTTAACATGGCGACCGACACTACAAACTCTTAATGGGTTTTGGGCACTGAACCTCTCGTAATTCATTCTAATGTTATTCTAGACGCACATAATTCGTCTGTGTTCCAGACCTTTGTTTTATGCCGTTGATGGATCATAGGAACTTTATACTCAATAAGCAACAGACGTCACCCATTCATGAGCCTCATTATACTCTTTATGTGAGAAGAGTTAACAGGCGGTTAATAACCAACAATACTACCCATCATGTTTTTGGTGGTGTTTTGTTCTCTGAGCTGGATGGTTTGGTCGTGGAGCTTTCATCGTTCTTCTGAACGACATCATCAGCACAAACTTCAGATAGAAGTGAAGTGTTCGAATTTCTCCATATGTGTTTCACAGCTTGTTCTGTGCACCTCGATGTTGATTGGTTCTTGTTGACCTTAAATTTATCATTGTTTACTTCTTTGTTTTGGTTGTGTCTCCCATTGGTTTGATTTTTGTTCCTATATTTATGCATGATTTTCCTGATTGGTTGATAAATTGGATTGATTTCAATATGTTTGTTGATTGCTGATTGACCTGGTGTTTTTGGAGTTTCCTCTATCTAAGATTTCTACATTTTCCCAATCGAATGAATGTCCGTAGTTATCCACGTGTATTGAGATAAGTGAAGAGATATCCACTACCCATCATGGGCTTATGTTTTCAATAAAATAGCTCGTCTTGATCTTCGCAACTACGGCGTTTGTCATCGATTCTTTGCTACAATATAGTCCATCATACCCTTACTTTGTCCTCACGATTGTCATGTTGGTTGACAACTAGCCTGTAATTCCCGTAACACTTAGTCGATCAATTGAACTAGAATCAATCAAATAGCAATCTGAGTCATTATTCATTTATGCACCTGTCACCCTATCCTGCATGAATACTGTGAACTCAAACCAAGACCTGGTTTCTTTAGTTCGGACTTACTTAGCAAGTAGAGAACAAGACTGGCACCTGTGATTTGACACTTAGCAACCAGGTCATAATATTCTCCTGCCCAATGAAGTTTATTGGTGGCCCTGATAATGGACGGAATAATAACACACTTCAGCAGTTCTAAAATATTCGAAAACCTTGATTTAGTACCTTCATCGGCGAGACTCTAATTTAGGGACGAGACAATCAGAAGCGTTTGAGCAATTTCAATTATTAGCCAATCAGAAGACAGTTAGTATAAAGTAAAAATATATTATAAGAAAGTAATGAATTACAGTGGATATTCTTCTTTTACATGATTTAAAGACTTGTTAAGGTTTGATAAAGGTTCAGAGGTTCTGAATTCGTAATGCATATGGTATAGAAACTCGTCCGTAGGGTTAGGAGTTAGGGTTGTAGCCTCTCAATAAACACCTCTGCTCTAAAATCCACTGTAAAACGATCGTATGTTAGAATCACGTGTTGAACTTGGCTCCGTGACCTTGGAATTGCTCATACGCTTCTTATGGGCTCGTCCCTAAATTGGAATCTCGCCACCCTAACCCTAAACTCTAACCCTAAAACCTAACCCTATGGACGAGTTTCTGTACCGTATGCATTATGAATTCAGAACCTCTGAACCTTTATCAAACCTTAACAAGTTTTTAAATCATGTAAAAGAAGAATATCCACTGTATTTCATTACTTTCTTATAATATATTTTCACCTTATACTGTCTTCTGATTGATTAACAATTGTCAAGGTCATCGAAAATTCGTTCAAAGGTCGTCCCTAAATTAGAGTCTCGCCCCTTCATCATCCGTAGTCTCACTTAGCTTTATCCGTTCTCTTAGGTGTTTTGGTGACTCTTTGACTACGACTTGTAAGACAGACACTGAAGTCCTTCATTATCACGTATTTAACGACGTTGGGATACGCACTCATACAATCAAACTGTTTGGGAAACACACTGATGCCCTCTAAGTCTCTTTCAGCATGTCGACTATAGCTTTTACACCCTAAAATGACCTACGAACCACTACTGATCTCCTATCGAAACTTTACTTGATCATATCTTACGTTTTTGCATAACCACAGTTTTGAACGACGATCTACTCCATTCCAATTGATAACAAGTAGCCTTTCAACACGTTTGTAGAGATGAGTAAAATTTTTATTATAATCATCTGTTGGTAATACTAAGTGAACCTTTGTGATAGAGTAATTATGCTAGTCCAGTATGATGGTTCAGATGTCACCAGGGCATGATGATTTTGAGGAGTCAAAGGATCAGAGAAATTACACAAAGCTGTAGCCAAACCTTGCATGAAGCCAAAGGAATGCATGTATCCCTTAGAGATCACCATATTTTAGCTGATGACCAACCATAAGGATTAAAGGTCAATTTCTGAAGCGACTCATTAGTTTTTAATATATGAAATTAATTGCATCTGGCATCTCAAATAGACCAATTCTGACGAAGTTTTGTGTGTTGTTTGGGAGTACTAGAGATGCAGGATGGTTTAACCATGAAGTTACGATGGACCAGATCAACAAGACACTGTGTGGTGAAACCTCAACGTAAGATCATATAGACTGGGCCGTAGATTAAAATGATTATCCAAGCACATTGGTAGGCTTCACTAAATAGGCTACGGTTAAGTATTTGCATGTTTTTTTGACGACACAGTCATCTCATTTTAACTCTAGGTGATTTTTTAGTGGTGTTGGTTATAACCACACGATCCTCGAAGCTGAACATGAGATAACTGAGAAAACTCATATTCAACATTTAACACGGGAGGTCAGTAATGGTGAACGTAACAAGAATGAATCGAAATGGCATGGCTCGGTCATGCAGGTGCGGTCACTTTTTTTAACATCTAGTTCTTTGTATCAAATATATTGCTGTCTTCCCAGGTTAAACGTGTCTTCAGAAATTTTAGACGTCATATAGCTGATAATCACTATAGGGCGAGTAAGTATAGACAGTGGTGTGTCTCACGTTATATCTCATCACGGCAAGTCTACCACTTTGAGATTAAGTCTGTTTTTATAGTAGCGAAGATAGATATACTAATACTGAAATTGTCTGTGACCCCACAATTCTTTGAGGTGTTAGAGAAAACTTCGAAGATAATCTCGTTGCTAGAGAATTCAGAGGAGTTGACAGAAAATTCATGACGTGATACAATTATCCTACATCAATTTCTGAAATTCCCGTTTTTGTTGACGGTGTGGTGGATCTCAGTAATAGAACTTATTTAAGATACAGTTATACCAACAGTTACTAATGATATACCAAAAAAAAGATCACCACCACAAGTTGAAGTGTCTATTTATGAGCAAAGCGAAACGGTAAAAATAGCTCTTATAACAAGGTGGCATATTTAGTAACAAAATGATAATAATTGTTGTGAAATAAATGTTGCTTGTGAGTAAATAAGTGTGCTTCATTAACTAAGGCCCTCTTGCACGTGGTGGCAACAGCAGCGTGATGAGAAAGATAATTCTAATAGTACTATTCAACAATAATCCGGGCCAAATCTTCAAAGTAATGTAGAATGGCTTAAAATGATGTTAAAACACCACTATAACCTACAATCACTATAAATTAAAAGAACGGATGATAGAGGTAGCGTTTATTTGAACAGCAGCAGTAGCGTGTGTACATACAAATAATTATGTCTGTTTTTTGGATGGATACAAGGAAACAATATATATGGGATAAAAATTTGGTTACACATAAAGTGTCACAGATAAAGAAAAAATTGGTCACTATTTTCTCATTATAAAACCCATTCAATAAACATGTCAATTAAGATGTGAATTGAATGCTTATTTTACCGTGCACATATTGACAGCTTGACACATAACTTTGTGCAAATAAAATCTGTAAGAGATATCAAAACAGAGTTTGGACTCAGTTCCTTTGAACGAAAGTGTGTTGTTCTAATCACAGGCAGTTGTCTCTAGCTTTTTAAATATATTTTCAACTAGCATTTCTCTTGGCGACAGATAAAGCTTGTCTAGATAGCGTGATTTGTTAGCTTCCTTTATATGAATTGTGCCGACCTCATGGTACAAGCTTATGCACCTATAACATGGTTTATCAGTGCAAAATATCATTTGACATAAAGATATCGCAAGTATAGGGAGTTTGACAACGCCTCAAACAGTTACACATTTATAATAGAAGTATACCAACTAAGTAAAATCAGCAGCCAGAAGCGAAGAGGTTCTAAGATATATTTGCGAAGCTATTGATATGTCGAAGGAACGCTTGATGTAAGCTGACTGATAGTTGAAAGGGATGAGTAGCATGGTGTACCCACTTGTGATCTGGTACGGATGAGTGACCAGGCGCATTCAACTAGGCGAGTCCACCAAAACTTATGCCATCAGCATCAAATGTAGACGATTTACAGTGATATTTATTTTGGGCGTTTATTTACCACTACAGACAAACTAAAAAAACAGGTGCTCACTTCTTGATTGAAAGTAGTGATTACGAACACCCAGTCATAAATTTTGCTCATTAAAGTCAAAAGGCTGACTACCAGTGTAGTTAATGGACCTTAAAAGAACTCTAAAATTTAGTTTGTTTACATATTAATTGGCATGTTCTCTTTCTTATGTGTTTATGTGATCACTTTTTTCCCGTAAAACACTGAACAGTGTTTGTTTTACCAATGAAACAAGCTCCCAGTCCGAGTTTGTGCGAGAAATGAACTACTATTCTTAGGCTGCGGTGAGTATGTAAGTCGTCGTGTTGTGCACGGATTTCACATTGAATAATAGTCTTCAGTGTTTAGCTAAGTCTGTAACGTCTGACGTCACTTCTTTTTACACGGAACGACTATGAGACTTCATTTTCAAGCCCCATTTTGAGTTTACATTCAGTTTTGAGATTATCATATCAAAATGACTTTCAGCAATATTTCAAAACATTTGGCTAATACCGTGAATTTAGCAGAAAGCTACTCAAGTTTAGTCTTTGCTCGGGTGTCATGATTTTTACTCAGTCATGAGTTTTATAGTTCATAAAAACTGGATTACTTTTCAGACTAACTTACGACTAATTTTTTTAAGCTTCAGATCAAATATATATGCTAAAAATCTGACTTTTGGGTTCGCCAGTTTAGTAGGCATCCTACGCTCGTTTTCGTACGGTCACCGTGATTGTGTTTCTGTTGATCTTACGGCTTATAATCACGCTTAAGACTGTGTCACTTTTATATTTCACGTAAGTTAGATTAGTTGTTAGTAGGGAAAGTGATGCGTTGAAGCACTATATATTTTTCACGAGTGGTTTTTCTCGGGATTCCGTTCCTTATGTATTTTTTTGTTTAGGCCTGTGTTCTAGTCTATGAGTCCGATTTCTTGTGTACATGCACCTACAATTTATGACTTAACTCCTACTTAGAGTCAAAATCAGTGTCGATCTTAAGTTGTGGGTGATCTTAGTCAAAACAGAGAGTCAGATTTTGCCACAGTTAATTTAGGGTATTCGGTAACTTATGTCACGAGCTGGGATTTATCCTCCACTGGTATTAGCCGCTTTGTTAAGAAAACAGTTAGATAACCCAGTGATAAGCTGTAGCTCCTAGCTAAGGCGGTTAATCTGTTTATTTTGTAAATTACATGCGTAAACCGAGCGATCTTTTAATTGATTTCAACTACTGCTTGCTTAATACATTCAAATTCATCTGTTAACTGGACACGATATACATTTTATTGTTATTTTTGATATCGTTTTAACCAGTGGTTTATGAATAAATTATCCTTCGTCTGCAGTTAACACAACTATTTCATTCCCTTGTTATAATTAGCAATTAGCAGTTATTCCAGAGCCATAGCAAACCACATGTACTATTAGCAATATCATTATCAAGTTACAAGATGCTTATTATAATAAGTAGACTTCAAAATTTAGATTCGGAATCAAGCATGATCCATAAACGTACGTGTGTTTACTGACTATTCTATTTTGTTTTTCGTGTGGATTTAACTCAGAACTCTATAACTTTTGGCCCGATAATTTCATCTCTGTGCTTATAAGGTATAATAACTTGAACCAATGTACGTTGTGGTGTGTGCTACTTATATTGACATAAGTAGTATATGATGTTGATGTTAGTCGTGAACAGAAGGTCTGGCAGCAGGGAGACAAGAGGATCGAACAGTAAATAATGAAAACAAAATGCAAGAACAATGATGTCTGAACCATTTTGAGACAATCGACGGACATTTTGCAAATTAAGCATTTACTCTATGATTGTTAGATTTTATTAACAAGTCCTGTAATTTTGTTTTAAATACATTCGATTGTCCCCACTGGTGTTCTTGTTCACTACACGTAAGTACAGGGTTCTACGTTATGACTAATGGTAACATGCGTTATTTGTTTTAGGTTAATTGATCTTAATTTTAACAGTTTAATTTTTTTACGTGTAGGTACCCAGTGTATTTTTGTGAAGTATTTTTTCAATCTAGTCAAAAGCAAGGTAGTTTAACGCTTGTGTTGAATAGTTAAGTTTAAAAAGCTAAATACCACCAAAACTTCAGGGATTTAGGTTAAGGTCAACTAACATTCCCTGATTAACGTAGACATCTCATCGAAATCATGACCCCATACACGGAAATGAAACCTAGGACCTTCGTTCTCGAGTGAGAATATTTGACCTTTAACCTGCTGACCTGGGAACCATTAGTGTTGTCTAACATCAATCAATACACGATAGATATTACAGAGGCAAGTAGATGTTACACAGTGTGTACAGTTGTGTATTCAATCTGTTTGATAGTGATAAAAAGTTAGGTAGATTTTATAACCTCACGTCTTAAAAGTTACTTCTCGGACTGAGGTGATAGCCTACAATTTTTGGTCGCTATGCACTTTATAGATTAGTAAAATATCATGGTCTAACAAAGACGAACCTGTTTTAATTCTTTACACCTGGGTTAATGGTTCGGTGAAAAGGGTTTACAACCCCATATTTTGATTTGCTTCTGATTAGCACTGCACTTAGTAGCGCGATTGCTTACTCAGGGTTTTTGTCGCGGATGAGTAATATTTTAAAGGTATAAGTGGCCAAACAATTATAAACTGTGTGCATCTTTAATTTTCATTTGTTATATTTTAAAGTTGTAACACGGTTAACTGGTGCGTAGTGTACTATCGTTAATATTCACAGGACGAACAAGATAAGTAAAAGGGAGATGAGCCATTTGTGATTTTCTTTAGAAACTTACTTTGCCACCAACCCAACAAAGTCAATAAAAGTTAGAGTAATGTTTCATCCTTTCATCTGGATCAATTTCCATTGTCAAACCAAAAAAATAGATATGATAAATTTAAGATCTGCCACCAGTGTGTCATTCAGTTTGCATTTAGCCGTAATAATTTTTTGTATTTGGGAAATGAATAATATACACAGACTACCTATTTTGTACAGAGGGCTATTTTAACAGTTTCAGTTTTTAAAGATCTTGAGCCAAGCACTAGGCCTCAGTTCCGAACTTCATTTAACTTGTTTAGGTTTAATAAGCCGGATAGTATCACCAGATCTCATTAAATGTTACTCAAAATACAACACCTGAATTTGCACTTGGTTTATGAATCACATCACTATCTAATGCATCCAGGTAGGAACTCAATCCATTCGAAACCAGGGAGTATTTCTTAATTGTGGAGTTATTGAGTATGCTTAATAACAGCAACTTAACATAATTTTAGCTTTCCTTGATCTATGACAAGATGAGTTTTTAAATATAAGCTTTCAGTACTATACTATTACTAGTAAACATTCAACTTTAAACATAACCATGTAATCTATACACGTAAATATGCACCTAGATCTTAGCAGTATGTTTGCTGTAAAATTTGATAAACAACGTATGTAACTGGTAAGTCAACAACTAAAACTTTTGATTTCTCGTTTGCTACTCACATGCAAGATATCCACCTATTCAATTAGTTAGTCATTCAGCTTTTAAAATGTTAATCATACCTAGTATTACCATCGGTTCCTTATTGATGTTAAAATCTGTCTCTATCTCTTTGGTCAATTGTAAGCTGATGAAAGAAACAAAGAGATTCAACTGACCATGAATTGTGTAAAGTTTCAGACTTAGAATAGATTTCTTTCGAAATATTTCATAGTGGTAGTCGAAAAGTTTTGACTCTTACTTTGAGATGAAATTATTTTCATGTATCTGAATTCTTGTTAGGTAGTCTGATGCTTTCATTTATTGGCAATGATTGATTGTTTGACCGGAAACATTTCATGGTGGAACTAGTTGGAGCGCATTCTCCTGTTACTCACATGTTACTTTTCAATTTTCAGCATACAGTTGGAGTTGTATGGTGTATTAGAAGATGAATTTATTTGTACAAATCCAGTTTAATTGAAAAGCAAACTACAATAAATGCTATACATAATTCTAAACTGTTTTCTACAAAATTTTTGTCAAATAAACAGCAGTTGGTCAATCCCAATGCCTGTCAAGACAGTATCATGAAACATGCCCTCAAGTTCCCATCCAGCCTATTATTCTAATCCAAATAGTGTATTACCCCAAGAATCCATATCAATGCAAACATATTACTACAAGAACAGTATCCCCGTATCCGGTTTGGGTCCAAACCCATCAACAGCAACTCCCCGTGCATCAGCGCTCCCTCAGCAAACTACAAATAATCATTTAGGTGTTCCTGGATCCGCCCGTTTATCATCCCAGTCACCTCATAATGGTCATCCATATGGGAATTTTCGAAATAGTCAGTCAAATGGTCTTCCTAATAACCAAGATGTAATGTCGGTTTCAATGCACACCCCATCAAATTACTATTATTGGCCTTCTGGGACTACACCTGGACCTAACACTACGCCATACAACTACAGTGATGTTTCGTCACATACATATGCAACCCCTACACCAGTATCCAAACCAAACAGTACAGCTGGTTATCTTAACCCTAATAAAAATGGTCTGACTAACAAAAATAATCCATCCAATCGGGTAGCTCAGCAGTTAAAGAATACGACATCTAATTCAAGTGGCAGGCCGTTATGGAAAGATAGACCACATGTTGGGAAATATAGTTTAATCCAAACTATCGGTAAGGGAAACTTTGCAAAGGTCAAACTTGCCCAGCATTTGACAACCGGAATGAAGGTTAGTTCTTATATTTTCATTCGTTAATGACAGTAATGAGACTTTTAGATAAAAGGTATTATTATTGTTAATATGACAGTGTGATTTTTCTTTTGACGAATGTTCCTAGTTTTACCATTTCATCTGATTTTCTTTTATGATTTGCCTTAGTCACCAAAGATGATTAGTTATATGTATAAAAAATGTGCTGCATAGAGAGCACTTAATTGTTTTCAAAGTAATTTTTGTCCCCCATCATTTTGTGAATAAGTTATTTAATGTAATACTCATAAAATTTGGTTAGTTGTTCATTTCCCTTTCTGTCTGTTCTGTTTGTGAGCGGCTGCTTCACTGTAATGCGTCGTTAAAGTAAATTTTCATTAACTTTTAGTCAATTGGTTTCATCTCCATTTAGGTTATTCAAATACTAATCTCATTTTATACCAACTGACTTGGGGTATAGTGATTTGTTTCCAAGCAAACTGCTTGGAATTAATTGTGGTTTTCAGATCAAAATAAATTTATAATATCAAATTTGTTTGCTAATTTAAAACCTTTAGATTATTTTCTATTTACATCTTGTTATTTTGTCTGTGAGATTGGGTCAACTACCTGTGCAGTTTATAATTTTATGTAGTCGACTGATTTGATTCGTTTTACCACCTCTTACGCGAGGGACAATTGTCGTGAGTGTGGCTAATTTCTATAGTACTTTTTAGTGTTGATAGGACCGAATTATGCGTTAGAATTCTCCGATATCAGACGCATTCACATAAGATTCTGTCAGTCTTACGTACAGTCCGGAAGCTAACATACCTCCTACCGCACTAAAATCAAATTTAAGACAACCTGTGGTGTACGCTACTTATGTCTACAGATATAAGTAGTATATAACACCAGTCAGAAGTTGGAACCCTGACAGTAGAAGGCTAAGAAGATCAAGTTGAATGGAAAACAGAAACGGAAATAGAAAGGAATTGTGACTCAGAAAAATCGTACAGTGTGAAGGAAAAATGATGGAATGTTGCGAATAAAGTTTTCCCTCTATGGTTCTCA